AGTAATTCTCAGCTGCTCCCCAGGCAGTTGAGAATCCCCTCATTAGAGCCAAGGAGAACCTGGGCCGGGAAGCTGGGAGATGGCACACAGGCCTACAGGCCAAGCAAAATCACGCTGGTAGTTTGAGTGGGGAAAAGGAACATTTCCAAACCAGAGGACTCAACATTTTCTGTCTGGGGGGGACAGGAAAGGTGGCAGTGAGAAGCAAATAAAAAATATAAATTCATCAGATGTCTTAGGTAAGCTCATCTAATGGTATGAGGAAAAAATAAAACCTATATGATCAAAGTACCTAATGTGACTAAATATTTAGGTGAAGAGTCTTAATTTGTGCCAAGTTATTTCTAACTTGTTATTTTAAAATCAACAAAGGCAGACTGGGTAGAAGACTCGGGGACAAATATTTTTAATAATTTGTAACTGTGATCCAAACCCTGGCCCCTGGTAGTGGCAGGGCAGATATTAGGAGTTGGCCACACCCTTAACCCCTGGTCTTCACGTACCTCCTCAGGACCTAATATGTGGTCCACATGGTCTGGGCTATATGAGGAGGTTATTGGGACAAGAAAACCTGAAAATGTGTTTCAATTAAGAAAAATCCGTAGCCAACTAGAGTCCATCTGACCAGTGCCGTTCACTCTGTGTTTTTCTTTTTCTTTTGCTATAGGAGGCTATAAACATGACAGCATACATTTTTATTTATGGCACTGCTCAATACACCTTATAATTGAACAAAAGTAAAATTACCCATGTGTCTTCATTGGTAGATGCTCCAATATATACAGAGGGTGCCAGAAAAAATGTATATACACTTTAAGAAAGGAAAAAACTGTATTAAAGTTGTAATACAATGAATGATGCTAGATTCATTTGATTAATGCCATCTTTTGAGTGGATGTCATACTACACATTGCTACCATAATTCAATTCAACTTCAAAAAGTAACACATAGATAACATCTCTTAAAATGTGTACATTTTTTTGGCACCCCCGGTATATATCCTTGAGGAGTCCTGTTCACTTGATTTATGAATGAAACACTGTCCATATAATAACAGATGCATCAAAAGTCTTTAATTTTCCTGGCAGAGTTATTTTCTTAGGTGACTAGTTATCCTTAATGTTTTCAGCAGCCCTGGGAGGGTCCACCTACTGAGTTCAGAGGTTAAGGTTTACACTTTCTCTTTCTGGATTCGTCAGTCAGATCCTGTCCTGTCTATTTCACACCAGTCCCCACAGGCCATGAAACAGGTTACACTTTGTGAGAATTCCTCTTATCTGTCGGGCGCTTTAGGGAGTTTTTTTTTTTCATTTTTTTCACTTAACATAAAGAATTTGAGTGTGCCCTGAGGATGAAGAGAAATAGATTTATTTTACTAATGATCTCTAAAATTATCTTCTATGCTCAGGCAAGGAAATGTAGTTTTAATATTTGTTCTGAATTCCTCAGTATTCTTTTAGGCTCTATTTTTTTCCTCTCCTCCATGAGGAGCCTAATCAAAGTTTAACAGGGTCATTATAAATTGTTGTACTTTTGTTTTTATACTTCTAGGCATTAGGTTAAAATTATCAAGAAGTGTTCATATTGGCATCTCCATAACCTATAATATGAAATGCCTTCAGCTCCGGGTATGTAGTTACTCTAGTCATGTCCTATTGTGATGTTAAAAAACCAATTTTCTGTAGCAACTATAATCCCAAGATGAAGAGCTATGGATATAATTTAATATCATATCAGTTAAGTTATGCAGAGAATATGAGAGCCAGTGACAGGGATGTATTTCCAATGGTGGCGGAGTACTCTGGTTTTTCCATGATGTAGCCTGATGAAAGAATGTTCTCACGCTGACTCTGGGTGGTAAACACACAATGCAATATATATATGATGTGTTATAGAAATTTACATGTGAAACCTATATAATTTTACTAATCGATGTCACCCCAATAAATTTAATTAAAAAAGAAAAAAGAATATTCTTACAATGAGAGCACCAGTCCTGAAAACACTTTTTCCCTTCATTGCATGTGGGTTCAACAAGCATCTCTCAAACTCTGACCCGCTGTGTGGTGCTGGGGGAACAAAGGTGAAGAGAAGGGTTCTAATATTCCCTTCACGCTCCCTGAAGACGATCCTGGACACTCTCTGACTACATATGCCCCACTGAGTACACCTGTCTAGGAAACTGGACAGAACGCAGGGAGCAGATCTGTGTTTTGAATAGTTGGGCATTTGGGTCAAGTCCCCTTTCTTCCATATATCATTCCAAATTCACTGATATATTATTATAAAAAGAATAGGTAAATGGTTTCGAAAGGAATCCATATGCAAATAGATTAGTATTTACTAAGTGAATGAATAATGAGTGAATTTCATGAACTGAGGCCCTCCTGCTGGTCTCGGTCATCAGTGTGAACTTAGCAGAGGAATCAATGTCTGACATGATTTTTATCAATTAACAGAGGGTGATAATAATCTTTACAGGAACACCATGCTTAACAACTCTGTTCTGTCCTCTTTAATTAGTAGAAAAATGTTCAGTTTTCGACAACTACCAAGGTGTATCTATCCATGGACTTGACGTTTCCTAGTTTAGCAACTTCTACATATAACTTGGAAGCACAAAGTAAAAATTTTCATATTGAAGTTGTCTAGAAATAGAAACAGAGAAACACACCTCTGTTTTTTGGAATCCCTTCAGTTCAGAGTTCCTCTAGATGTCAGTATTACATAGGGAAATAAAAATATATTTTTTATATTTTATTCATAGCCTGTGGCAATGAATAAAGACCTTACATTAGGTAAAACATACTTGTATGTGATACATGATTTGCGAAGACCAAAACAGCCTCATTTGGAAGCTGGTTTCTTATATCCCTTAGGATCAACAGCTGCTCCTTTTGCTCAGACAACTGTCCCCTGAGAATGTTGGCCCAGCCTGTGACATTTGTCACCAACACTGCAGATGACCTTAGAGGTGAACTGTGATCGTTCATCACTCTTCAGAGCCTTACAAGCAGCTTCTCAATTTTACCTATTTTGATGGATTGAAGTCGACTAAAACACATCGGTTTTCATTATTAAGTCTACCTATGCTTTTACCATTGTGTTCACACCATCCAGAATAAATCCAGAAGCACAATGCCTATCCACCAGGAGTTTTCATTTTAAAAGAGAAGCATTAGAAGACAAAGTTATAAAATATCTGAAAAGCAACTTGTTGAACTATCTTATCTGACTAATTTGGATACATGCTTTCAAAATTAGACTTAAATTTTCTTTCTCTTGACTCTCTTGCATGTTAATTCTAATTTTTTGACCAATGAATATTTATTCCTTCACTCGACTAATTTGTTTTCATTTTATGCCCTTCTCTCTCAGCCTTCTTTCTTATCTCCACTAGTGCTAGCTGTGTTGTAGATATAATCAATAAATATTAACAATCAACTTTGGCTATAATCTTCCTTTTCTTCAGAGTGACAGGACAGTGTAGTACTTAAGAATGCAGAGTGAAGCAGACAACTGAGTTAGAATCCTGGTTATACCATTTCTGAACTATGTAACCCTGGGAAGTTACCCAACTTCATTATAAAATAGAGTTAATAGTATCTATCCCAAGGGGTTGTTGTGAGGAGCACCTGAGTTAATAATATAACATGCTTAGAAAAGTGCCTGGTATATAGTCAGTGTTTGATATATATTAGCTATCATCACCATCATCATTATCACTATGTCCCAGTCTCTCTCTGGGGTAAGCACCAGGAATTCAAAGATGAACCAGTCTTTTTACCCATTTGAGGTAAAAAGGAAAAAAAGTTTAATAAATTGGTGCAAGGAACACCAGGCTTGGGGGTGTGAGCAGAGAGCTGGGTAATGGATGAGGGAGCAACTGGCTTTGCCTGAGGAAGCTGAAGGACCTTTCCCTGCAAAGAGGAAAGTGTGCATGTACCACCTCTGCACTTTCACTCAAAAGAAAAAGTTACAATCCCTGAGGCTATAATCTCTAATTTTGTTTTTTAACAGGTTTACTAAACATGCCTCCGTGTTTCAGGGTCCCTGTCTGAAAAATGGAAATGCTCTGAACCTATGGAACTTCCCTTTGGACTGTTTAAAAGTACATTTGCAATTTGTCTTCATATTTGTGAGCTGTGCTTGCATGGCATTTCATGATTTTAAGTCACCCTGAGGCAAATTTTGCTCTCTTGCCAAAAAAAAAAAGATTCTTTGGACATCTGTACAGTTTAATTAATTTATAATGCATAACTTTAGAATTTGTGATAATTTGGGTGGATTGGGCTAATGTTTACCTTTTATGAGGTATTTAAAAAGGGTTCGCTAAGCTAATTCAGAGAAGCTAGTTGTGAGAAGAATGTTTATCTGCTTAGGAAAAGGGCCATCTGTTCTAAGCAACGTAAAAGCTCCATTTATAAAAGCTTATTTTAGTCTCCTACTTTCTGGTTTACAAAACCCATTCACAAATGCCCTCTCATTTTGATTTGATTTATATGTGAACCATATCAAGACAATATAAACCAAGGCTAAGGGTGACTTACATATTATCTATATCCTTTAATCTGTTCAAAAAGATTGGCCTTCTTCTACAAACAGTGTCAGAGTTTTACAGAATTTCTTTTAAAATAGTGAGTTCATTTGTCTTCTAATACTGTAGTCTATATAGGGTTTCATTAATTCAGACTGTCCTGCCCTTTAAATAGAATTTTTTTTTTCTGTGTTTGAATCATATAATATATGGTTCTCCATCTGTGGCAATTTCATCCCCAGGGAACACTTAGCAATTTCTGAAGACATTTTAAATGCTACAACTGGGAGCCAGGGTACTGTTGGCATCTGGTGGGCGAGGCCAGAGATGCTGCTACACATCCTGTGGTGCTCATGACATTCCCCACAACAAAGAATTATCCAGCTCCAAGTGTCAGTACTGCTGAGGTTGAGAAATCCTGATGTAATATGTAAACACAATTATTCCATTGTGTATCCACAGGCTAAGGAGACAGTGTGGTCACACCCCCACCTGAAGGACATGTCATCTGTCAAAAGGACATCGGCCCTCACAGGTAACATCTTTAGAAAACTAAATATTTATGGGTAAAGGAAGCTCTGTTATAAAAGTCCGATTGTTGTTGTTGTTGTTCTTATTCAGAGAAAGTTACACATTCATAAGGCCCCATGTCAGGAGAAGTGCTGTTTGAATACCTTTATTTGATTGGCTTTGGGTCCTACTAGTTACAAACTAGAAAATCTTTGGGAACCCAATTATCAATCAATTGGTCATGTTCACTTCTACTTTGGTTTTCAAAAGCTTATATCTGCTGATAAAGACAAACCTGAATAGAGATGCCATTATGTGAAGCCAAAATTATGCTGATCACATACATCCTCCATTAAAATATTTTGTGTCCTATGGTGGCTTTTAGAGAGATCTTCCCAGAAGAACCAGCCTTCCTCTGAGAAAGAAAAGGTTAATAAACTCATCAAGAAAAATGCTGAGAAGACCAATGCCTCTCTAGTTCAGAGAAGTTTTGCCACATTTCATACAGAAAGACCCCAAGATGAGGTAGAAGATTTTGCTCTAAGAAAGACCATAGAGCCAAGAGAAAATACAGATGGAAGAGATATTTCATGCACAGAAAGACGGAATAGACAAGAACATAATAGTGCTGGAGATGATAAGCAAGCCACTGTGGATAAAAATGCACATCCAGTATTCAAAGGAGAGAAAAACAGGCTTCGTTCTAAGGAAGATACTAGTGAAAGTGAAGCTGACAAAAATGGGGGGTCATCGATTGCAAATGAAACAGTGCTGGACAAGTGTTCAGATACAAAGCAAAATGTTGATGAAACTAATGGTGATCAGTTCTGTGAAAGGTAGGGGTAAAAGCATTATACATCTACAACTGATGTTTTTTGTAAATCTTTGTGCCATTGCAATTTAAGGCCAGGTCAAAAGGATAACCAAAGTGAGATTTTAAAGCCATGGTTTAGAAACCAGTTTCCCACCTGTGTAGATTTTTCTTGGCCATGTTTTCTTGTCACAGTTTTTACTTCATGCCTGCCTGTGACATTTTCAGGCATTTTGTTGTTTTCTAAGTCTCCTACCAACTGAAAGACAAAGATAATGATTACTAGTACTGACATGAATCAGTATGTTTTAAAGATCAAGTAAAAGTTTCTTAGTTTTAGCAATATGGAGCACATTCTTCCTAAGATCAAGAATTGAATAATGATCAGATTTATCTGTAGGTTAAAAACCTAATTGTTAAAAAGCTTACCTATCCCATTATACATGACAATTTGGCTATTTTCCCCCAAATATTGTGAGGATTGAGTAAGATTGAGATTACTGAATGACTCTTTCTCAACTATGCAAACTTTCACATATAAATGCAGCCAATTAAAATTAATTAATGCTATGATGAGCCACAGAATCTATTTGAAATAGAAAGTATTCAAACATCTGTGGTCTTTTTTTTTTTTTAGGGATTTAAAATATAATCCTTATTTTATTTGTTTAATAAAATACTTGAAATCTACTCATGGAGAAGTCTAATTTTCCAAGAATTAACCATAAACACTAATGTTTACTAAGAAAGTCCATCATTGCAAAGATGTGCTTAGTAAGGTCTGGAGCGGTTGGAAAACTGAAATTAGGTCAATTCTTTCACCAGTTAGGGTTTACTCTCACTGCTGTTAATATTCAGAGAGACTATTGCTTCTTTTATTATGCTTTAATTTAGTCATTTCTCTCTTTTATAAGAAAAGGAAGTGAAAAAAATGAAAACCAAGTTAGGTATTCATGAAATAACTGCTTTTGTAAAGGGACAATGGAATAAGTTGGGGTCTCAATGAGGTCATTGTGGAGTTTCTCTGGGATTCTAGTTACCTACACCCATCATCCTGCTGCTTTCATCTGATGGGGAAGCACACTGCTCCATTTTATCCCCAAGCACTGCCATGCCAACTCTGTCATAAAGCTTAGGTCCCTTCACCAAAACACCATTTTAAGGAAGCTTTAGTTCTAAGAAATTTTTCTCCCTGAAACTTTGAGAGCTGCAGCTGAGTTTTATTTTCCAGGTGTATCAGCAGTGTAAAAGCCATTTCCACATCAGGAGTCCCGGGAAACTCAGCAGTAGGACCCAAATTCCAGAATGCTGAACAAACAGAGCCTACTGGCAGTAGTAAACGAAGAGTGGCAGAAGAGTGCTTCATCAAAGAGGACAACAAAAAGAGCAGAATAGCTGTAGCAGGTACAGGTGAAGGACACACATTGAGAAGGACACAGGAAACCAGACAAGTCCAGGGGAGTTTACAAGGCCAACCCCTGGAGTCCGCTGGAATTAAGACCTCCAGACAGCAAGATCTGGTGACTCCATTGGGTAGGAAATGGCTTTTGTTTCAGAGTTTTGCAGCTTCTTAACCTTTCCAGGAAACATTTCCAACTAAATTTCGCTTAGCTTAACAGCCTGAAGGAAACATAATGCTGTATTGATGCCATTTGTGTATGTAACTTGATTATTTATTTATTTACTTATTATTTATTTATTTATTTGGTCTGAAGAGATGTATGCCACCAAGAGAATTCTTTCATGGCTTCTTTATTTTTCTGCATATTTATGGTGAATGTCCATATCAAAGCAGATTCATGGAGATTTATATTGTCTGAATTCAGAAAAAAATATTAACACTTGGCAGAGTACCTAGCACAGGATAAGTGTTTAAGAATTAAATGTTGAATAAATGTAAATTTCTGAAAGCAAAGTTATTACCTACTCACCTCCCTTTGTATTCTTGGTATGCATGTAAGAAGGTGCATGCAATAGGTTCTTAAATAATGAGTAAAAGAGAAAATGAATAGGGTCATGGCAAGCAAATTTTAACAGAAGTAATCATGGAAAAGTAAAAGGAATACTGGAAGAATATTATTGAGTAATTACATATTTTAGAACTTATTCTGAGGTGGATTAGAGTTTAAACACTTAGGATAGAAGGTAGAAAGTGGGAGAAATTTGAGAGCTGTGGAATATATACTTAGCCAGTTTTACTGGGTGTTTTATTTTCAGCCAGGAAAAATTCATCTTTGTGCTTTAAATGTGTCTTAAATAAAGCTAAAATATTTTGGAAAGTAACATATAATAATATCAAATATTTCAATGACATGAAGAAACTTTTCATTTTTTCCTCTCTGCTTTAATTAAAATAATGGGCTATATCAGTGGTGCTTTTTAAAAAAATGGAACAAACTACTTCTTATGTTTGAATTTAAATGGCCTCAGGCTTGGAAGTATAACCCATTTGGATTGTATTGGGGTTGGACATTTTCAATTATTTTGACATTTCTAAAAGTTGTCCTGAAGATGGTATGAATCATAGTTTAGTGATCCTAACATTCTTTCTCTAATATGTCGGTGTCACCTTCATGAATCACAGATTATAACATGAAATAAAAATTTATATTCCTTGGATCATTAGGAATAAAACAGATGGCTTGTTGTATTTTATTATTAAATGAGCAAATTATCACTCTGAGGCCCAACGCTTGGTGCCATAAAGAGTTCTGACTGTTTAACAGACGGCCCTTCTTTTCCTCTCACCTTCAGATGACATCCGGGCTCCTCCTGCCCCATTTAATCACCGGATTGTGATAGCCAAACAAACAGCAGTCAACAGTTTTTATACTGTGAGCAGAGCAGAAATTTTAGGAGGGTAAGTAATGCTCTATTTTAACACACTTTCAACAAAAGACGAGGACTTTCAAAGAGATCCATAAGGAGGCTTTCTTAAATATTTGCCATCTCCACCTGAGAATCAGAAATGTCACAAACATACATTTCAAGAGATCTTAAACATTTCTGAAAATTGTCACAAATGCCAGAAAGGTTGATGTGGTGAACAGTGACTAAACTCCACATTTATTATCTGCAATTTCCCATGTTGTAAGATCTGAAAGTGAGAGAAACCAGTGTGAATCCCCAGAAGGTTTAGAAGCTCTCCAAAGCTTGAATACTGAGAAACAAAATGTAGAAATGAATGAACACTATATTTCTGGTGGCATGTGTTAAATTTTAAATAGTTCTCATCATTATTCTTGGTTTTCTATTTATGTTGTCATTGTATTAATTACAATTATGCATCTCAATTGATTATTTTTTTTCACTAAGTAACTTATTTGAAAGACATCTCAATGCAGCCTCTCCCTGAAGATGAAAGAGTAAAGCCCATCAAGAGATCGTTACTGGGGATGTTCCTTCCTCTTCTATTTCACTCATAATCCTGCTATGATATTTTGTAATTTAAAGCCTAAATTATAAAATTTACTACAATCAACATATCCATATAAAATAGGAAGAGAAAACAGAAAATGTATAGAAATATATACAAAATTTACTTAACAACACATTGGAAAATATCCACAGTTACTATAATGCATGTTTCTGCATCTGGCCATTGAGGGTGTGGTTGATATTTGTATAAGCCCTTTCTTCCTCTTCCCACTCCATGCTTCTTTTTCCCTCCGCTACAGGGAACCACTTGACTTTTTTCCTCCTTAGCTGGCTGATCATGGAGCACTTCCCTCCAAACTGAGGATAGGCTGAGGGAGAAATGGGAATTCTGGAACATGAATAAGTACTATGGGAGTCTGAAGTCTTACTGCCTGCAGCAGCTTATTTGGGTCTTCAGGGAGTTCAGTGACAAGCCAGCAACTGTTTCTGTAAAGGAGAGTAGCTATTGGCAGAAGATGCTTTGAAACAATCCCCAGGGTTTGTGCTGTATTTCAGGTGAAGGTTTGTCAGTGGCTCTCCTTTGGGCAGCATTGTTCACATTGCAGTCTGGAGCAGTTGCTGGGCATCTCCTGCTGTACTCCACTCAAAACTGGCAGCTAAAACTTACTCAGTAAATGAGTTAGAGGAGCACAATCAAGTGTTATTATTGCCTTAAAATGCACAGAGATCATCAACTAGTGTACCTCCTTTTTAATAAGAGATTCCAGATGTAGCAAATTATTTTTCACTTTTGGCAGAGATAATGCAACTTGCCAAGGATCACTGGGTCCCAAAAGACTTGCCCGTGATGGCAGGCCCCTGAATTTTCCTTGGGTTCATCTCCCAACCTCTGACCCCTAGGGTATTTATAATCCCTACTCAAAATATTGAATTAGCATGAGGTTTGTCAGTATGGTGGACCAGCAGGAATACTGGGAGGTGGCCTAATCATTCAAGGTACTTGCAGAACAACTCATGTGAGAGAGACAATTGAGGTAGTCCTAAAGTTAAAAAGTGATGTGGCACCTCTGTTGGGCCTGGCAGTTCTGGGGTCTTTGATAATTAAGACGAAGAAGCATTTTCTTAATGAGCAGCCACATGCAAGGTGCCTGGAGCTGTGTTCATGTGCTCCAGTAAAGAGATGAATTTGGAACGGTGTTTGCAATTGAAGTCATCACTTGGCTGTTTGTGAACCCATCTAATTCTGCCCGGGCTGTGTAGCTGAGTTGAATGGGATATGGTGGTAGTCACCACCCTGCCTCCATCAATTGTTGCCAAGACTCTCACCTCTACAGTCCTTTAGGAATGTGGTGGCCTTAGGTGCATGATGTTGTTAGGGAAGTGTCCCTGTCACTCCTGCCATGAGAGCCGCCATTGCACAGGCTGGTCCCTGTGTTCTGTTTTACTATTGTATATCAGTAATTAAAGTAAGCAAGTCAACTTTAAAAATTGTTCACAAAGGGGTGCATTTCTGTGTGTGATTACATTTGGCAGAAGCTGTCTGACAAAGTATATATGTTTATGTCCAAGCTAAAGTGTTAAAAAGCTCACAGATGATTATGTGATATGTGTTAAAACATGTCTATGTGCAATATTATCATTACTTCTTATTTATTTATATGCAGTTTCCAAAAATAATTTAATGTGCCTGATTCACAACCTGTATTTTTCACATGCTTACAAAGCCTAGCTTATTACATTCATATATATTCAGAACAATTCTATTTTTTTGACAACAGACATTCTCAGATTTTAGGGTGTATATATAAATTACCCAAGGAACATTGTGAAATGCAGATTCTGGGGCCTCACCCCAGATTCCTGTCTCAGTAAAGTTGGGGTGGGGCCAGGAAACATGTATTCCTTCCAACCCAAGACACTCCAGGTGATCCTGATGCCAGTGATGCACAGACCAAACCTTGACACTGTCTTAGAAGTTTATTGGCTACAGTAGATGCACTAGTAGATTTGCTTATTCAAATTCAAACAAAGAAATGCCCCAGGGAACTTCCTGGTCCACTCCGCAGTGGCTGAAGCCGGGTCCTGGTGCGGACAGAGCCTCACACTGCACCTCATCCTCTTCTTTGGCAGGGGGCGCTTCGGCCAGGTTCACAAGTGTGAAGAAAAAACAACAGGTCTGAAGTTGGCGGCCAAGATCATCAAGACCAGAGGCAAGAAGGATAAGGTAAAGGTCGTGCAGCGTGCATTTCTCCTTGCTGTTGTCTTCACCACACTAAGCCTCTTTCCTTCTTCTCAGGATGAAGTAAAGAATGAGATCACCATCATGAACCAGCTGGACCACGTGAACCTCATTCAGCTCTACGATGCTTTCGAATCTAAGAATGACATTGTCCTGGTCATGGAGTAGTATGTGTTCCCTCCTGCTCTGTCTTCCGCTCCCCTGCAAATCTTGCACACACACCCAGAGAGTCCCGCAGCGCCTGTGACCATGGGGTGCAGCTCTGTCCTGCCTCAGAATGTTGCTAGACCCATGCTTGGTGCACCAATGATTCTGACTTGCGTGTATGAGACAATCAGTTTTAGGAAGGAAATTACTTAGAAATAGACATCTCCATATATGATTTTATTAATAAGAAAGAGAATGACAACATAGATCTAGCTTTATATGTAAGTTATACAGTCAAAAATCCAGCTTAAATATTATTCTGGTTATCCTGGAGGAAAGTGATTTTTGAACTACATTTCACTTTCAACCTAATCACTTAATACAGAGTTCATGTCAAACTCTTAATAGGGCTAAGAAACTTCCATTTAAAATTATCTTTATAAAAATGTGGTAAGTGTTTAGTTAGAAAGTGAGTAGTTCTGAATCGGCATTGTGATTCAGTTCATTTTTCCTCACCTTGGGTTTTGTTTATCATTGTTCAATAAGGAATTTTGAATACTAAATATCTAGCATCAGCCACATAGAAGCACTTTCTCACCGAAATTAGTCTGAGGAGACCATGTCTAACCCTCACTTGGTGTTTGGAATTCCCCTCCCTACCTTCTTAGAATTCTCTTTATCTTCCATGTATGTTAGAAAATGGCAAATGTGGACTCACTCCAGAGCTGTAGCCACCGGATGAAAGGGAATTTGATACTTTCCATTTGTGAAATTGATGGTAGCTGAGACAATGGCCTTCAAACTAAGAGTCATGTAACTGAGATAGCAAAGAAGGCAGAGAAGTAACTGTGCATATACCTCTTTTGGAAGAGTTAGAGGAGCTTAAACACCAAGCTGCCACCAGAAAAATGTGTTCATTAAGGAATGACTCAGGACTTCACTCCTCTTCCCTCTGCAGTGTGGATGGCGGTGAGCTATTTGACCGGATCATTGATGACAACTATGATCTGACCGAGTTTGATACCATCCTGTTCATCAAGCAGATATGTGAGGGGATACGATACATGCATCAGATGTATATTCTCCATTTGGACCTGAAGGTAGAGCATGTTTTGTATCCCAACCTCTGCCCTTGTGTGGATCAGAGGGCTCTGTCAGATACTATACACCAGCTTGGGAAATTGATAGTCACTAGGTACATATTCAGGAGTTAATAAAAATCTAGATTCTTAACCTCATCCCCCCATTCCCAACTTCTGTCATGCCCTAATATTTGCATGTCTCCCTCTTTATGGACTACTATTCAGATTCTTGTAACATGCCTGTGTGAAAGGAATCCACATGGGAGATGGTTTCCCTAAAAGTTTAGAATTAAAACCACCGCCATCACCACCACCACCACCATGGTACCCTTGTTGTGTCCCTGTCATTATTAGAATAAGTAGGTGGGAGAATTTTAACTAACTGAAAATACCCTAGTAGTAGCCAAACTTTCCAGCTCTCCAAGAGTCCTCAGCATCCTCCTAAAATTCTTTCAGGAGGCTCTGGACTTTAGCGATTTGTTTTTCTCTGGGCATGCTAGAGCACTGAGGAGAAACCTGTGGCCGAAAGGGATATTGGGCAGTCAAAGAGGGCTAAAATACTAAGGAGCAGAAAAGGATAGGGGAGTGGGGCTGGACACCACGCTGGAAAATGGTGGAAAGCTTTTGTGAGCAGCTGGGAGCCGAGATGCCTTCCTTTCTTCTCTTATTTAATGACTCTTCCCTTTTTATCTCTCTCCCATTATGAAGTCCCTAGAATTGGACTGTATCTAGTAACAACCAATGAGAGACCCAGACCCAATAGCTCTGACTTAACCCAAATAGCTCTAATATTGGGGTTAAGAATCATAAAGTGCATCTTCTTGTGTGGCTCAATCATTTTCTCATTTCCCTGTTTGCACAGAATGGCAGTGAGATAAAATATTCTATAGAACATACCATCTATTGCAAGTCATCAGGCATTATACAGCTAAATAAATTTAACTTCCTTAAATAGTTTTCCATGGACCTATCTTCCTATAACTTGGCTTTCCTCACTGTCTTGATTTATGTGCATTTTCTCTCGCATTTGCAGGACAGGAGGAAGTGATGTATAAAATGGCAAAGTCAGAGGTTAAAAATCATTAGCAAAGCCCTTGGCTCTAAACTGAGTTTGATAATGCATATTTTAATGGAGCATTTTATTGAGTGTAGATATTCTACAGAGATCTCTAAAGGGATTTGATTGGCAACTGGAAGTAGGACCTGGCCTATCGTAAGTCAAACAACTCCATATGTGGCTTCATAATGTTGATTGAGGATTTATAATGGGTAATTTTAGTGATGGCTTGTATGTAAAGACAATAATAAAGGTGACAGCTGGATGGGTCATTAAGGACCAGTCATCTCTTTTAGAAAGCTCCTTGGAAGGAAAAGGGCCAAAAATATTTAGTGCTTGTCACTATGAAGAGGAGATTAGAGGTGACTTAAAAGTGGTCTTATTTATATTTCTCTGTGTTTTACAAGTCTCATTTAATTATTATGCTTTAATTTCATAATTAGAAAAAAATTAGCCTTTTGAAGTGCCCTCAAAGCTGTTTACTTACATTGTGCAACCAATTTTTTTATGGCATAGTATTCTTTGACAACTGGACAACTTTATACATGATTGATTAGTTATTTAAGCATAAAACCAAATGTTTTTATATAACACGCACTTCTCTATAAGCTTTTACTTATAGACATTCATTTTAGAGATAGATAATTTAGAAAAGAGCTTCCAAAGACATTGTGCCCAACCAAATGGCCTATTGAATATTGATAAGGAGACACTATGCCATTTCATAAAGGGTTCCTGAGTTTCTGATCTCATGTGAACCTCCTCTCCATCCAAACAGATGTGTGTGTGTGTGTGTGTGTGTGTGTGTGTGTGTGTGTGAGGGGCAGCCAGGATCCCAGCTAAAGGATGGGACATGGGGTCCTGGAGATTCAATGACTCAGCTAATGCTCCCCAGGATTCAGGGAAGAGTCAAGATTAGAGCTTGAGAATTCCAAGCAATGTGTTGAAAATTTTCTCTTTTATGGATGACCTTAACTTTAAATCAAATATCTTATATTTCCCTGACCTCAGTTTTTTTCTGTCCCAACAAATGTAGGTGCACTGTCAGACATTGCATAAACACTGAGTTGCAATGCTATGATCTACATTTCTCCCTCTTCACCCCAAGGCTGTCAGATTGGCAGGGCAAAGTCTTACCAGAGTCAAACTCCAAGGGAATATGCAGAAAGGGTTTCAGGCATTGAGATCAAACTCAGCAAAACTTTGGAATTGCAGAGAATGAAGCATGAACAGGGGAAAGCCTTCCCTTTGACATATGACTTTCCCTAGACTAAGCACAAAGGAAAATCTGGAGGTCAGTAGTGTTCACATTATATTGCATATTCAGTGTGGCTGTTTACATGAATCAGGCCATTTCTCTTGGAACTCATAAATCCTTGGGAAAAATATTCCCCCAAGAAGGGGAAATTCATACTTAATAACTTTAGGGGGACAGATGTCAAGTCTGAGACGGCCTTCACCAGTGCATTTAGAAAGCACTGAAGCAGCCTCTTTCTCTTTCTTCCCTCAAGGAGGCCTCTGCCTGAACTCACATCATGATAAGCTGCAGAACCAGGGAGAGGAACAGGCAGGGTAATGCAAGGTTGGCATGGTACCCATAACCTCATCTACCACATAATTAAAGGAGAAAATACCCACACAGACAAGCCAGCCCCAAAATGAAAGGCCTGATATGTTTTCCCTGAGCATCGTTGTATTTTTAGTTGTGGTTCAAGGACAATTTGAGTGAATGATGGTTGTTTTCATTGCTAATGTGTCTCTTTCTCCTGGCAGCCTGAGAATATCCTGTGTGTGAATCGGGATGCTAAACAAATAAAAATTATTGATTTTGGATTGGCCAGAAGGTATGGCTATTTGGACATAGGTGTATGAATGGAGTTAGGGAGCATGATGATATACCCCTTGGTTTCATATCCTCATTTAAATTTAATTTAACAAATGTTTCAGCTTTACATTGCTGATTTTGGGATTTGAATGTTTAGAAGTTTCTATAGTGCATGCAAGAAAAAATATGAAAAATTAAAATTTAATACAATGACGTTATTAAATTTGAAAACATTAATTTAGAATTTGTAAGAGTTTGTCTTAGTCTTTTATATTTGTTTTATCTGTAAAGAGAAGATTTACTTAAAAAAAATTAATAGTGTAAACAAGATTGCAACAGGTCCTGGCACATGTAAGGTTTTTAAGGGAACAAAGAACACATTAACAATGAATATAAAATAGATGTAAATTATTGCATTTCATTTATTCATTAGTATGAGCTCATTCAATACATCGACATGTCAAGGATCGTATCAGTTTTTATTTTGTCATATTCTATAATTAATGTTTCTAATTATTCTGAGTGGCTTTTGTTACAACTGTTTCAGATTATTATGGTTTTACTGTATGAATTATGACTTAAACTCCTAGAATTTCTTTACAGATTTTGACACTAAGTTTTAAATATGTAATTTCTTTTAAAGTCTACCGTATTTGCCGGCGTATAAGACGATTTTTTGGCCCTGAAAAATATGCCTCCAAGTGGGGGGTCGTCTTATACGCCAGGTACACTTCAGATAGACTGCCCATAGTGCTTGCCCCGTGCCATAGTGGCCTCCCGATGCCTGCCCACTTCATTCCACATACCGTTCAGGCATCAGCAGCGCTGCTGGGTGTATGCTCGGCTGTGTGCGATTTTGCGAGTGTGGTAAATTCGGGTTACCGTATATTTCTTTACATATGCATTGAAAATTCGCGATTTTGTGCTATCATGGTGCCTGTTAGAATGTTGAAGAGCTCGCACTTGCGCACTAGTGAGGTCCCAGGGAGATGCTGATGCAAGGGTGGACCAGACTGCTATAGTGACAGGGCGGGCAAACAGGGAGCAGGGACCAATCCAATCAGGCTTTGTATACAGCCAACAGCCAACCACAATACTGCACCATTGTACAGTACAGCATAGAAAATGTCGACCAGTCAAACCCCTATCATCCCTATCATGGCACCAGCCAAAAGAAAGAAGTATGATGCAAATTTTAAACTGAAAGTTATAAACTTTGCTAAGGAAAATAATAATTGTGCTGCTGCAAGACAATATGGAGTAACAGAAAAGATGGTTCGGGACTGGAAATCAAATGAGAAAGCATTAAAGAGTATGCCAAGGGGTAAGTGTGCATTAAGAAGAGGCACCCCACACTGGCCAGAACTCGAAAAACATGTAGCAGACATGGTGGCTCAACATCGCCAAAACGGTTATGTGGTGACACGAAATACAATACGCTTGTTTGCACTTCAGTGGGCCAAATCAAATCTGATATTGTTTTACCTTTTATTTGGTGTGTGGAAGGTGTGCGGAAGAGAGGGTAGTCTTATACGGCGAGTATATAACAAACTCTGTATTTTGAGTGGAAATGTTAGGGGGCGTCTTATATGCCCAGTCGTCTTATACGCCGGCAAATACGGTACTTATTTTAAATTTGCTGTATGGCTGAAGTTTTTTTGTCTTATAGACTGCATCTTTTCAATTTCCATGATTTTTGATTGACACTATGCATCCCTCCACTTGTCTCCTAAATTTCAGATACAAACCCAGAGAGAAGCTGAAGGTGAACTTTGGAACCCCAGAATTTCTTGCCCCTGAAGTTGTGAACTATGATTTTGTTTCCTTTCCTACGGACATGTGGAGTGTGGGAGTAATCGCCTATATGCTGTAAGCAGATCTTCAGTCTCTCTGACACTTATTCTCAATCATCATGCATAGTCTAAGAGGTTTTGCTATTTTGAATAAAAACCCCAACTTAGGTCTTTTAAAAATAAATAACACTGTACCATGTTCAGTTACTTTCTAGGCTCTGTTGAATCCTGTGGGTGAAGGGAGTAAATTCTTTGCCTGCACATCATCTGAAAAAGTAAATGTATGTCTTTCACTAATCACTTTAACACCTATGATACCATCAAGTGCCTTAAAAGTAATAAAAACAAAAACAAAAAACAAAAATCCTTTGTGTCCTGACCTCCTAAATGACTACTGTTAGCCTTACTCCTCAGAGACTACAGTCCTGGTGTTTGCCATCTTGAGCATATGGCAGATTTTAACGGCTGTAAATACTTTAAAAAGAAGTTGTACTGGTCTTTGAGATTCATATTCAAGAAAAGCAGCTGCCTTCATTGCTGTATTTATTTATTTAGGAGTTGGGGTGGGGAAGGTAAGTATCTTTTTCATTGTAAAAATATATTATAAAATTATATTTAATTATTAGGTTATTTGCTTTCTTTCAGTTTTAAATGACAGAACCAAAAAAGCAACCTATCTGTAAAGGGTTTGAAAATGTTTT